TGTGAGTGTGTGTAGTGCCCTTTTTGTAGGGGGGTGGTATGTGAGAGGGAGAGGGTGTATGTATATGAGTGCATGTCAGTGTATGTGTGTTATAAATGTAGGATTATGTGTCTGTCTGTGTGCAGAACTTATCAGTGTATGTTTGAGCGTATGAGTGTGAGTACGTGTGTATCTATGAGTGTGTGTGTATAAATGTGCATGAGTGTACGTATGGTATATGTCGAGAATGCGCACGAGTGTGTAAGTTTTGGTGCGTGTGTGCGAGCGCATATGGAACTGTGTCTGTGTGTGCGAGCGCATATGGAACTGTGTCTATTCGTGCGGACGAATGCAGGTGAGTGTGTGCGTGCTTTTATGTACACGAGTGCATAGGGGAACATGTGAGTGTGTGTGAGTGGTACACGAGTGTGTGTGCATGTGTGCGTGTGTGTCTGCATGAGCACATGTGTATGTGAGTGTGAATGAGTATCTGAGACTCTGCGTGCCTGAGTGTGTGAGTGTAAGAGTGTGTGTGAGGGCGTGGGTCAGAGTCTGAGAATGTGTGCATGAGTGTGTGTGCCTCAGTGTGTGTGCATGAATGTGTGTGAACGAGTGTGTCTGGGAATGCGCACATGACTGTGTGCACAGGTCTGCGAGTCAACTGTGTGACTGTGAGTGTAATGCATGTGTGTGCATGAGAGTGTGTGTGTGCATGAGAGTGTGAGTGTGCATAAGTATGTGTGAGCGTGTGCTTGTGGGTGCATGACTGTATGTGTGCATATGAGTATGTGTGAGTACGTCTATGTGGTGTGTATGTGAGTATGTGTGTGTATGCATGTGTGTGTGTATGCATGTGTGTGAGTGTGTGTGAGTGCCGTGGGCTCACAGCACTGTCCGTTCCTTCTCTTCATTCATAGGAAGGATGCACAGCCGTGACCAGGGCATCTTGGGGCGCTGGGGACCCCCGGGAGCCCCCTTCCGAGACAGAGGCCGCGGCTGCAGTACCGGGCGGCGGCCGCCGGGGGGAGCCGCGAAACAGGAGAAAACGCTCTGGAGAGCCCGTGGGGCCGCGACCAACGGGCACGGACACCAGGGGGCGCTGTGAGCCCCGTTTTCCTCAAAGGGGTCGCAGGGGGGCGAAAATTTGGGGGTGCAAACGCCTAGAAACACCCGAACCGGCCAGGTCCGGTGAGGGGTGGGCTCACTGCGCCCCCTACTCCAACGCCTGCTCTGGGGGGCGGGGGGCGGCACCCAGAGGCAGAGTGGACCCCAGACCCCTTGGGGAGCAGGGGGGGTCCATCCCCCTGAACAGAGACCCCAACACTCGGCCCCCACACAGCGCTGCAGGGCAGCAGTGGGCACCGAGCCAGAGAAAGGACAGACAGAGGCCGGGCAGGCCTGGGTGCCAGGACCCCAATTCCCCGCAGGGAAGTGAGGGGTTGGCGGGCGGGTTGGGGGGCCCAAAGACAGGGCTGGGTGGGGGTCCGGCTGGGTTTGGACGGGGCCTGGAGCTTTGTGTTGGCACCTTCCGCTCTGGTGACCGGCTTGGTCCCCGGCATGGACATGGGTGAGTCCTGGCTGCCTGCGGCAGGCTCTGGGGTTCACGGCCAGCCTGGGGACAGGCTCAGGGGAGGTGGCCCAAATCCCCGACACCCTCTGGTAAGGTTCCTGCCCGCCCCCATCGCGGGCGCCAGGCCAGGACCCCCCGACTCAGGCCAGGGAGGTGCCCAAGTCCCAGGTCACTGCCTTTTACGCTCTCCGGTAGCAAGGGTCAGTGACATCACAGGGGTTGGGGGGGGGGGGGGTAGGCATATCTCAGGGCCAGCCTAGTGGGACCACAGATATAAAAATCGGGGTGGGGTGGTTCTGTGCTGAAAACGCCTATTCCGGGGCCGGAGCGATAGCACAGCAGGGAGAGAGTTGGCCTGGCACGCGGCCGACCCGGGTTCGATCCCCAGCATCCCATAGGGTTCCCTGAGCACCTCCAGGAGTGATTCCTGAGTGCAGAGCTGGGAGTCAGCCCTGAGCATCGCCGGGTGGGACCCAGTAAGCAAAAAAACACGTCTATAGACCAAACATGATTGCCACCCAATGCCTCTTCTGCAAACCACAGCACCCAAGAGGAGAGAGAGAACAAAAGGGAATGCCCTGCCACAGAGGCAGGGTGGGATCGGGGGGCGTGGGTGGGAGGGATACTGGGATTAGTGGTGGTGGAAAATGGGCACTGTTGGAGGGATGGGTGTTTGATCATTGTACAATTGAAACCCAAGCACAAAATTTTTTCAGTCTACAACTGTACCTCATGGTGTTTCACTAATAAAAATTTTTAAAAATAATAACAAACACGCCTACTCCATGCTGGAATTCCCCGTGACGGGACTACCCAGTCCCCCTCTATCGTAACACAAATGCCACACCCTCTGTCACAACAGAAACCCCAAGTGTCCCTCTATGAGTGACACCGTCCCCCGTGGTGACGAAAAAATTGCGTTCCTCCCCATTATGACAGAAGTATCAAATACTGAGTCCCCCCCACCCATCATGATGGAAACACCACGTCCCCCCTAGCCCAATGACCCTGTACACCACACCCCTGTCATGACAGAAACGCCCCTGTATCGTGACAAACCACGGCGGTCTCTTTATCGTGATGGGAAAACCCAGGTACCCCGCCCCTATTGTGACAAGACCCGGCGGTCTCCCATCGTGATGGAGACACTGAGGCAGGGTGGGGGGAGGGGCAAGGAATGCAATCCTTGGACGCTGGGCCCTAAGGCAGGGCCATGCCCCCTCCGTGGGGACCCTGGGACCCCGATTCCCACACTGCGGGGTTCGAGCCCGCCCGGGCACTGTGGGGGGGTGGGAGAGAAACCCGGGTCGGGCCACTCCATCCATGGAAGACTCTCCTGAAATTCAACCATGGGGGGAACAGCAGATGGGTGGGGGAGGGGAGAGGGGTCTCTGGGCTTCAAGAGGTCTCCCTGGGGAGGGCAGTGATGCACCCACGACCCCCTCCACCCACGGGCCGGCAGGCGGTGTGCTGGGGATGGGTGCGGGGTCAAGGGTTGGGATCTGGGTGGGGTCTGCCCGGGGTCTGGCGGGTCGGGATCAGGGGTCGGGGGGTCGCGGCCGCCCCCTACTCACTCCCACTCGCGCCGGCGCGCCTGCGGGGTCTGGCCGGGGTCGGGGGTCCGCCCGGGGTGGGTTGTGGGGGTCCGCCCGGGGTGGGTTGTCGGGGGTCCGCCCGGGGTCCGGGGGTCCGGGGGTCGGGGTCGGGGGTCGCGGCCGCCCCCTACTCACTCCCACTCGCGCCGGCGCGCCTGCGGGGTCTACCCGGGGTCGGGGGTCTGTCCTGGGTCGGGGGTCCGCCCGGGGTGGGTTGTCGGGGGTCTGCCCGGGGTCCGGGGGTCCGGGGGGTCGGGGTCGGGGTCACGGCCGCCCCCTACTCACTCCCACTCGCGCCGGCGCGCCTGCGGGGTCTGGCCGGGGTCGGGGGTCCGCCCGGGGTCCGGGGGTCCGGGGGTCAGGGTCGGGGTCGCGGCCGCCCCCTACTCACTCCCACTCGCGCCGGCGCGCCTGCGGGGTCTGGCCGGGGTCGGGGGTCCGCCCGGGGTCCGGGGGTCCGGGGGTCGGGGTCGGGGTCGCGGCCGCCCCCTACTCACTCCCACTCGCGCCGGCGCGCCTGCGGGGTCTGGCCGGGGTCGGGGGTCCGCCCGGGGTGGGTTGTGGGGGTCCACCCGGGGTGGGTTGTCGGGGGTCCGCCCGGGGTCGGGGTCGCGGCCGCCCCCTACTCACTCCCACTCGCGCCGGCGCGCCTGCGGGGTCTGGCCGGGGTCGGGGGTCTGTCCGGGGTCGGGGGTCCGCCCGGGGTGGGTTGTCGGGGGTCCGCCCGGGGTCCGGGGGTCCGGGGGGTCGGGGTCGGGGGTCGCGGCCGCCCCCTACTCACTCCCACTCGCGCCGGCGCGCCTGCGGGGTCTACCCGGGGTCGGGGGTCTGTCCTGGGTCGGGGGTCCGCCCGGGGTGGGTTGTCGGGGGTCCGCCCGGGGTCCGGGGTCCGGGGGGTCGGGGTCGGGGGTTGCGGCTGCCCCCTACTCACTCCCACTCGCGCCGGCGCGCCTGCGGGGTCTACCCGGGGTCGGGGTCCGCCCGGGGTGGGTTGTCGGGGGTCCGCCCGGGGTCCGTGGTCCGGGGGGTCGGGGTCAGGGGTCGCGGCCGCCCCCTACTCACTCCCACTCGCGCCGGCGCGCCTGCCGGGTCTGGCCGGGGTCGGGGGTCCGCCCGGGGTGGGTTGTCGGGGGTCCGCCCGGGGTCCGGGGGTCCGGGGGGTCGGGGTCGGGGTCGGTGTCGCGGCCGCCCCCTACTCACTCCCACTCGCGCCGGCGCGCCTGCGGGGTCTGCCCGGGGTCGGGGGTCCGCCCGGGGTGGGTTGCCGGGGGTCCGCCCGGGGTCCGGGGGTCCGGGGGTCGGGGTCGGGGTCGCGGCCGCCCCCTACTCACTCCCACTCGCGCCGGCGCGCCTGCGGGGTCTGGCCGGGGTCGGGGGTCCGCCCGGGGTGGGTTGTCGGGGGTCCGCCCGGGGTCCGGGGGTCCGGGGGTCGGGGTCGGGGTCGCGGCCGCCCCCTACTCACTCCCACTCGCGCCGGCGCGCCTGCGGGGTCTGGCCGGGGTCGGGGGTCCGCCCGGGGTGGGTTGTCGGGGGTCCGCCCGGGGTCCGGGGGTCCGGGGGTCGGGGTCGGGGGTCGCGGCCGCCCCCTACTCACTCCCACTCGCGCCGGCGCGCCTGCGGGGTCTGGCCGGGGTCGGGGGTCCGCCCGGGGTGGGTTGTCGGGGGTCCGCCCGGGGTCCGGGGGTCCGGGGGTCGGGGTCGGGGTCGCGGCCGCCCCCTACTCACTCCCACTCGCGCCGGCGCGCCTGCGGGGTCTGGCCGGGGTCGGGGGTCCGCCCGGGGTGGGTTGTCGGGGGTCCGCCCGGGGTCCGGGGGTCCGGGGGTCGGGGTCGGGGTCGCGGCCGCCCCCTACTCACTCCCACTCGCGCCGGCGCGCCTGCGGGGTGCTCTGCAGCTTGTGCGCCTGGTGGGCGCGGACCACGTCGCGCTGCTCCACGAGGCCCCCGCGCCGGCGCCGCATCACGTCGGGGCTGACGGCGCCCTCGGCCTCGGCGCCCGGGTCCGGCTCCGGCGGGTCCAGCGGGGCCAGCGCGCTGCGGCCCGGGGCCCGCCAGGCCGCGTCCGACGGCGGCGCCAGCGCGTGCCGGGGGCTCGCGACCCCCCCGCTCAGGGCTGCCCGCGGCCGGGCAGGGGCGCAGTCCGGGCATGTCGGGGCCCAGCGCGGGGCATCGCTCTGCGGAGAGAGGCGGGGACAGGGGGACGGAGGGACAGGGGACATGGAGGGGGACAGAGGATAGGGGACGAGGGACAGGGGACAGGGGGACGGGGGACAGGGAGACAGAGCGACAGGGGACAGGGTGGGGGACAGAGGATAGGGGACGAGGGACAGGGGACAGGGGGCAGGGGATGGGGGACAGGGGACAGGGTGGGGGACAGAGGATCGGGGACGAGGGACAGGGGACAGGGGACGAGGGACAGGGGACAGGAGATAGGACAGGGGATACGGGACAGGGGACAGGGCGGGGACAGGGGGGTCGGGGACAGGGGGACAGGGAGACAGGGGACAGGGGACAGGGTGGGGACAGGGGACAGGGGTCAGGGGACGGGGGACAGGAGACAGGGCAGGGGACAGGGGACAGGGTGGGGGACAGAGGATAGGGGACGAGGGACAGGGGACGGGGGACAGGGGGAGGGGGTCGGGGACAGGGGACAGCGGGACGGGGGACAGGGGATGGTGGACACAGGACACGGGGACGGGGGACAGGGAGGGGGACAGAAGATAGGAGACGAGGGACAGGGGATGGGGGACGGGGGACAGGGAGACAGAGCGACAGGTGACAGGGTGGGGGACAGAGGATAGGGGACGAGGGACAGGGGACAGGGGGCAGGGGATGGGGGACAGGGGACAGGGTGGGGGACAGAGGATAGGGGACGAGGGACAGGGGACAGGGGACGAGGGACAGGGGACAGGAGATAGGACAGGGGATACGGGACAGGGGACAGGGCGGGGACAGGGGGTCGGGGACAGGGGGACAGGGAGACAGGGGACAGGGGACAGGGTGGGGACAGGGGACAGGGGTCAGGGGACGGGGGACAGGAGACAGGGCAGGGGACAGGGGACAGGGTGGGGGACAGAGGATAGGGGACGAGGGACAGGGGACGGGGGACAGGGGGAGGGGGTCGGGGACAGGGGACAGCGGGATGGGGGACAGGGGATGGTGGACACAGGACACGGGGACGGGGGACAGGGAGGGGGACAGAAGATAGGAGACGAGGGACAGGGGATGGGGGACGGGGACAGAGGGGCAGGGGACAGGTGACAGGGTGGGGGACAGGGCGGGGACAGGGGGACGGGGGGACAGGGGACGGGGACAGGAGATAGGACAGGGGACACGGGACATGAGACAGGGCAGGGACAGGGGGTCAGGGGACAGGGGACAGGGGACAGGGGACGGGAGACAGGGCGGGGACAGGGGACAGGGGACGGGACAGGGGGACGGGGGACAGGAGACAGGGGATGGGAGACGGGCGATGGGGGACGGGGGACAGGGCAGGGGACAGGGTTGGAGCAAGCGAGATGGGGCACGGGTGGGTGGCGGCAGGGGGACACAGGGCGGGGCGGGAGGGAGACAGAAAAATACGTTAATGTCCTGCACCACCAGCCGGCTGCCAGCAGGGGGCGCCGCGCGGGCCCCAAAATGCGGGCAGGGGGGCTGCAGCGCTAACCCCAGGAGGCTCTATCCCCTCGGGGACCCCTGCGACCTTCCCCCAGTGCCCAAGACCAGGTTACAGGGGCACTGCGGGGCTCTGACACGGGAGACGGGAGGAAACCCCCCACACACACACATCTCTGGTCCCTACCCCCACCCAACTGGCCCACCCGAGAGGGTCCGTGCCCCTACTGCCCCCATCAGCCCCCCAAACCCACAGGGGGCACTGTCTGCCTGCTCACTCCAGGCCGACAAGGAAGTGGCCCTGGGTGGGGGTTATTTTCCCCTCTGGAAACAGGGAGCCCCAAGGGATGGCACCAACCACCTCTGTGGGGTCCCACCTGCCGCCCCCCCCTCAGACCCCAGCCCCTCCACACCCCCCAGGCCACAGAACTCCCCCAGCCGGGCCCCCACAACCAGGTGTCCTTCTGGGGCTGGCCCCTGACCCCTGTGTCTTTGTATGCATGTGGGAGGCCCACCCAGTCCCCCAGAGACTCCGGGAGTGACCCTGAGGGCAGGAACCTTAAGGGTCCAAGTGCTGAGAGTGTCAGACGCCCACGGCTGGCCCCTCATACTCACCATGGGATGGGAGGGAACAGTCCCCGGGTGCAGGAGAGAGAACCCCCCCAAAGCAAACCCCTGGGGCTGACCCCCACTGGCCCCCTTGGTGGGGTCCCCTACTCTTTGGGGACAGGGGAGGCATTAGATCACGCCTGGAGAGTGACTCCCAGCTCTGTGCTCAGGAATCACTCCTGGCGGTGCTCGGGGGACCCTATGGGATGCCAGGGATCGAACCCGAGTCAGCCGCCGCGTGCAGGGTAAAAAGCCCTCCCCGCTGGGCTATATCTCAGCCCCTGATCTCTCATTTCTTTCTTGGAGGGGACTAACTCCTGGCTCTGCACTCAAGGATCACTCCTGGCGGTGCTCGGTGGACCCTATGGGATGCCGGGGATCGAACCCGGGTCGGCCACGTGCTGGGCCAACGCCCTCCCCGCTGGGCTATCGCTCAGCCCCGACAACGTCAGTTTTCACACAGTCAATTTTACACACATCAAAACACGGAATTATCTCCTTTCCCTGAGAATCCCTGAGCCACAAGCCTTCCATCATCAAGGCAGACACTCATCAGCCCAACACGTCTCCCCCGCCACCCACAAGCCGCCAGCCCCGGTTCTGAAGAGCCAGAACTGCATCCATCCAGCGCAGGCGGCCGGACACTGCAAGTGCCCCCTCCCTGCCCCGATGACCTGGTGGCCCCTTTGCTCCTGGAGGTCAGGGGTGGGGAGGTCCTGTTTCTCTCCCACGACTGAGCTCTACGGGGGCACACAGTGGGCGCCTGGAGTGTCCAGAAGGCCAGAAAGGGCTCGTCCCATGCCCCTCTGCTGGGCACAGACTGATGTCGGCAGGTAGAGACGGAAAGACCCTGGACAATGAAATAGGCCAGAGGGGCCGGAGCGATAGCACAGCGGGGAGGGCGTTTGCCTGGCACCCGGCTGACCCGGGTTCGATCCCCGGCATCCCCTAGGGTCCCCCGAGCACCGCCAGGAGTGATTCCTGAGTGCAGAACTGGGAGTCAGCACTGAGCATCACCAGGTGGGACCCAAAAAAGCAAAGAGAGAGTACTGACTGGACTAAGACGCTGCCTTATCCTTTGGTCATCTCCTTGCTGGGTTGTTCCCAGTTGCCCAGGGCTGGCCAGGGCAGGGCCAGGACCAGAGGGAGGAGGAGGAAGAGCAGCCGGAAGCTTCCAGATGAGCCCCTGAGGCTCGGTCCCTCCCCCCTTCCCCCCTGCATCCAGCTCTGTGCTTGCTAACTCACTCCCTCAGTCCAGTCACCAGCTGCGTCTTTTATCACTTAATGACTCATAATGATAGTGTCATTAACCTGCCTGGAAGCCACAGAATTCCCGGAGAATAAAAATCTGCCTTTGCGGGGAGAATCTCACCTGTGGGACAGTTTCCGGGGCTCCACAGGCCCGGAGCAATGGCACAGCGGGGAGGGCATTGGTCTGGCACGAGGCCAACCCGGGTTCGATTCCCAGCATCCCATAGGGTCCCCTGAGCACTGCCAGGAGTAACCTGTGTGTATCATGATACAGAAAAAGAAAAAAAAATGACGGGGTGCGTGCTACTTTATACATGATGGACCTGGGTTCGATTCCCGGCATCCCATAAGGTCCCCCGAGCACCACCAGGAGTGATTCCTGAGTGCAGAGCCGGGAGTCAGCCCTGAGCATGGCCGGGCGGCCCCCAAAGCAATATATATATATATATATATATATATATATATATATATGTGATAGCACAGCGGTAGGGCATTTGCCTTGCACGCAGCCAACATGGCCAACCCGAGTTCGATTCCTCCGCCCCTCGGAGAGCCTGGCAAGCTACCGAGAGTATCTCACCCACACGGCAGAACCTGGCAAGCCACCTGTGATGTATTCGATATGCCAGACACAGTAACAACAAAGTCTCCAATGGAGACGTTACTGGGCCCGCTCGAGCAAATCGATGATCAACGGGAGGGCCTTTACCTTTACCTCGAGCAAATATATATATATATATATTGGGGCTGGAGCGATAGCACAGCGGGGAGGGCGTTGGCCTGGCACGCGGCCGACCTGGGTTCGATCCCCGGCATCCCATAGGGTCCCCCGAGCACCACCAGGAGTGATTCCTGAGTGCAGAGCCGGGAGTCAGCCCTGAGCATGGCCGGGTGGGACCCAAAAAAGCAAAAGAAAAATTGTTTAAACAAGTGGGGGAACTGGCCCACGGGTGGGCACCTCCCGCTGAAGGCAGATTCTACTCCCCCAAAACACTCCAGACTCCACAGTTCTTCCCATTGTTTTGTGTCCTTCTGCCTGGGAAGGGGGGCTCAGGGTTGAAAGCGGGGAGGAGGTGGGGGGGGCCTTCCCGAGCTCTCTTCCCAGGGAAAATGCTAATTTGAGTTTCTGCCAGCCTTCACTTTGCCACTGGGGTTATTTCAGGAAAAACTGACTCCCACCCCCGCAGAGCAGGGCAGAGGGGGGCCCACGAGAGTCTCCAGGATCTTTGCAGGGTTAGAGGAGCAGTCGAGGGACCCACTGCACGGATCGGGGGGCCCTCGGGTACGATTTCTGTCTGTCTGCTGGAAGCGGGCAGACTCCAGGGGGGCCACTGAGCGCGTCTGTTTCTGAAAACGGGCTGAATAAGAGGAGGATGAGCTTGGGGTTCTCTGCCCTGAGGACCCCCAGGGCCCCTAGAGTCTGCATGGGACACAGTGACGGGCTGGGGGCAGGTGGGGTCAGCTGTTTCCTGGGGCTCTTCACCAATTTTTTTTTCCTTTTTGGGTCCCACCTG